TAGTTGATTTATCAAGAGGTGACAAAGTGCTGTTGAAATCTCCAGTTACTATTGTGTTACTATCAGTGTCTTTCTTCAAGTCTATAAGGCGTTGTTTTAAGTATTTTACTGGTCCCTCATTAGGTGCATATATATTTAGGAGTGTGAGTTCTTCCCTTGATCATTAAGAAATGACCTTCATTGTCTCTTATAACCTTCAGCCTGAAGTCTCTGTCTTCTGATACTAGTATGGCCACCCCTGCCTTTTTGAAGGGGTTGTTTGCTTGGAGAATTGTTTTCCAGCCTTTGACTTTGAGTTTGTGATTGCTTTGGCTATTCATATATGTTTTTCCAGGCAGAAGAAAGTTGGATTCAATTTTGCATTCTTCCTCCCACTCTGTGTCTCTGGTGCATTTAGCTTCTTGACATTGAGAGATTATTGTCATGGGGTTTTGTGCCATCTCTTTGCAGGAGTTTGTTGTGTTTGTGGGGCTTTTCTTCAAGTGACCAATTTACTTCTTCTTTTAACAATGGTTTTGAGTCTATGAAGTTCCTGAGTTGTTGTTTATCTGTGAAGTTGTGTGTTGTTCCTTCAAATATGAATGAGTCTGGCAGGGTGAAGTATTCTTGGTGAGGTGTTAATTTCATTGCGATTTTTCATTATATCCCATGACTGTCTTGCAGCCCAGAGGGTTTTGTCTGAGAAGTCTGCTATAAATCTTTTTTTTTTTTTATCATTTTTTTTTATTAGTGAAACACCATGAAGTACACTTATAGACTAATAAATTTTTGTGCTTGGGTTTCAGTTATACAATGATCAAGTACCCATCCCTCCACCAGTGCCCATCCTCCCCCACCACGGGTCCTAGCATCCCTCCCACCCCCCATCCTCCCCCCCACCCCCCCGTCCCACCCTGCCGCTGTGGCAGGACATTCCTCCCTGTTCTCTCTCTCTTCTTTTGGGTACTGTGTTTTGCCAGAGAGGCATTGAGTGGCAGTCATGTTTGGTCTATAGACCACTTTTAGCATGTCTCTCCCACCCTGGGAGGGTCTTCACAACACCCTTTATTTGGTGCTCTCTTCTCTATCTGAGCTTCCTTCTCACCTAGCACATGTGGCTGGCCTTCAAGTCATGGAGCTAAATTCCTGGTACTAATCTGAGCCCTTCCTGGGTGTTAGTCTCCCGTTTTGTTGCTTTATGTTCCCCAGATGAATGCAATCTTTCTGTGTCTATCCCGCTCTTTCTGACTCATTTCGCTTAACATGATACTTTCCATGTAGTACCACTTGTATGTAAATTTCATAACTTCATCTTTTCTAACAGCTACATAGTACTCCATTGTGTAAATGTACCAAAGCTTCTTTAACCAGTCATCTGTTCTCGGGCACTCAGGTTTTTTCCAGATTTTGGCTATTGTAAAGAGTGCTGCAATGAACAAACAATTGCAGATGTCACTTCGACTATACATTTTTGCCTCTCTGGGATATATTCCCAGGAGTGCTATAGCTGGGTCAAATGGGAGATCGAATTCTAATTTTTTGAGAATCGTCCATACTGTTTTCCAAAAGGGTTGGACCAGCCTGCATTCCCACCAGCAGTGAAGGAGGGTCCCTTTCTCGCCACATCCGTGCCAGCACCTGTTGCTTTTGTTCTTGTGGATGTGGGCCAGTCTCTGTGGTGTGAAATGATATCTCATTGTGGTTTTGATCTGCATCTCTCTGATGATTAGTGATGTAGAGCATTTTCTCATGTGCCTTTTTGTCATTCGGATTTCTTCTTTGCGAAAGTTTCTATTCATTTCCTCGCCCCATTTTTTGATGGGGTTGGGTGATTTCTTCTTGTGTAGTTTAACCAGTACCTTGTATATCCTTGAAATCAACCCCTTGTCGGATGTGTATTTGGTGAATATTCTTTCCCATTCTGTAGGCTGTCTTTGTATTTTGGTCACTGTTTCTTTTGAGGTGCAGAAGCTTCTTAGTTTAAGATAGTCCCATTTGTCTATCTCTGTTTTCACTTGCTCGGCCAGTGGTGTGACGTCTTTGAAGACACCACTAACTTCAATATCGTGGAGAGTTTTGCCAACTTTGTCTTCAATAAACATTATGGATTCCGGTCTGATGTTGAGGTCATAAATCCATTTCGATCTTACTTTTGTGCATGGCGTTAGGCAGAGATCTGAGCCCACTTTTTTGCATGTAGCCGTCCAGTTTTGCCAGCACAATTTATTAAAGAGGCTTTCCCTGCTCCATTTCACTTTTCTTGCCCCCTTATCGAAGATTAGATGATTATATGTTTGGGAGGAGATGTCAGTATATTCAACTCTATTCCATTGGTCTGCAGCTCTGCTTTTGTTCCAGTACCATGCTGTTTTGATTATTACTGCTTTGTAGTAGAGCTTGAAGTTAGGTAGGTTGATTCCTCCCATTTTCTTTTTCCCAAGAATTGCTTTAAGTCTGCTATAAATCTTAAGGATGCTTTTTTTTGTATTTAATTTTCTTCTTTGGTCTTGCTGCTTTCATATTCTGTCTATGGTTTTTGTCATTCTAATTAGGATGTATACAGAGTATTTTTATTTGGACCCAATATTACTGATCTTAAGCACAAATTTAATTGTATGTCCTAAGCTGTAACTAATTTAGAGGAAAGTTAATAAAAGAATTTAAGAAAACTTAGTCTTAACATTGTTAATTTTGTGCTCTCAAAATTAATAAGTTGTTGCATTATATTATAAAAAGTGGCACGTATTTTTACTGTGATAATCATCAAATATGTAATGTTGTTATCTACATCTGTAGTAAGATTGAATTTTTGATCAAGACTGTTGTGAAATAAGATTTGCTATTTTGTTAGGCTGTCATTTTTCCAACTCTTAGGAAATGTATATAATGGGCATCTAGTAAATTAACTTTAGATCATCTGAAAGATGCAATTTTACTAGTAGCTCCATATGTCCTAATAATTATATGGAGCCTTTAACGTGTTTCTGTTTTTAATTTATATTTTGGGTAGAATTTTTGCAATTAAAATAATTTTGGGTCAGGAGGCGGAGTGATGTTACAGTGGGTCATGTGTTTGCCTTGCACACAGCAAACCCAGGTTCGATCCCTGATACCCCTCATGGTCCCCTGAGTCTGCCAGGAGTAATTCCTGAGTGCAGAACCAGGAGTAACCCCTGAATATGCCAGATGTGGCCCAAAAGCGAAAAAAAATTTTTTTTTGGGGAGGAAGGAGCAGGGCATACCCAAAAGTAATGGTCCTGAGCAAGGAAGGGCCAACCTATCCTCTTTACTTAGATCCTGGGTGGTCCTGGGGAGTGACTTTGGCTTCCTGCATGCAAAGCAGGTACCGTACCTGTTGACCTATCTCTCTGGCATTCTACACATTTCTCTGTCTGTTTTGGAGATGACAAGATTTGGGCCAAGCCTGATAGTCCTTGTTTTGGAGATGACAAGATTTGGGCCAAGCCTGATAGTCCTCGGTGCTTATTCCTCACTCTGTGCTTAGAGATCGGTCTTGACAGTGCTCAGGTGATCACATCTGGTACTGGGAATAAAACTGGAGTTGGCTACATACAAGGAAAGCACTTTAACCCCCATACGATCTCTCTGACCCCAATTTTCTGTCTTGTGTAGGAAATAAATATGTTCTAGAGATTCTGCTGTTGGTGAGATATAGGACTAATGAGTACACAATTTAACATTTCCCCATTTTCAAATTAATCTTATTTGCTATTTGTTTTAGAGAAATGCACACATAGTGACCACAGTTCTAAATAATTCTTTAAGAAAAATTACTATAATTGTAGGCTTAATATACATTTAAACTTTTTTTAAGTCCTGTGACTTATGTTGCAAAATTGTTTCCAGAAACATTTAGTGTACATGCTCAGGGATATTGTAGGGTGTTTGTAACCAAGACTGCTTATCACTGGTGGTATTGGTGACAGAATATTTAAGAGACGCTAAGAGAGAAATCTCAAGGAGAGGTTGGTAGGCCTGCATCACATCCTTTGTCTTCTTTCCCCCATTCTCTTACCTCTATTCAGTTTATGATTTTTAGGTCAGCTTCAAGAAATCTATACTTATATTTAATTATGACACTTTAAACCTTCCAAGAACAATGTTCTTCCCTCTCAACTATAATTTGGAGTCTGCTGTCCTAAAATATGGTGATCTCTGTTACTTCTCTTTCGTGTTTCACAGATGCTTGAATGCTCGTTAGTCAAAAGAAACCTCCCAGGTGTCAAGACTCCGGCTCCACCAGTTGGATGCCATGTTTATAAAGCAATAGGAACTCATTTCATGGAAGCAGTGTTTTTTATTCTATTGATGGTTCTTCCTTTTTTTTTTTCTTTTGATACTGGGGTGGAGAGCAGGGAGGGGAGCTTAGACCACATGCAGCATTGCTAAGGGGCTATTCCTAGCTCAGCACTCAGAGGACTAGATGCAGTGCCAGAGATGTAAACCGCTTCAGCAATATGCAGAATGAGTGCCATATTTCCTGTATAGTATGTTCAGTTCTTGGTGTTTCTTCAGGGAGAACTTTACTGTGTATCCTTTTTTGCTTGTCATTAATGTTTTTAATAATTTCATGTAAATTTAGTTTTAATTTTTTTGTAGCCGTCACTCTTGGCTATCTCTCTGGCCACAGCTATAGATTTTGTGCCATGGGTAAAGAGCTTTCTTGAAGTTTGTTATAAGGCTTGAAAATTTGTTTTACTTTTTTTTAATATATTTGACAATATTTATCCTGAATCTTAGTGTGAATATATAATTTCATTAACATTTTATGTGCACTTAATATTGATTTAGTTTCTAAAGTTTATTGTAATAAACTTTTAAGTTTAAGTAAATTTAATTCCTAAGATTTAATTTTAGCATAAATGTTAGAGATGTTTAGGTCTGTATTGTTTTTCTTATGGTATTTCGTTTGAAAACCTTCAACATTTCTCTGTAATATTAAATGTTACTCTCTTTGAACATAAGTTTGTTGATTATTGTTACTATTTTTTGTACTGCAGATTCATACCTTAGTAGAGAGCTTGAAACTTTCCATCACAGATCAGCAGTTGCCAATGTTTATCCGAATAATGCAACTTGGTATTGCTCTTTATTATGGCGAAATAGGTAATTTTAAAGAAGGAGAAACAGAGGACTCTACCTGTCACAATAAAGATATGTTAGGGAACATTACAGGTAAGTGTATTAAAAATGTTATTTTCTAAATCCTTTTGAAAAAGTGTTTTCACCATTATGAAACATAGAAAAACACACTAGATTACATTTTGCAGTATTCTAATGTGATAAAATATTTTTAGTTTTTTAATATTCTAATTTTCTTCATTATGCCCTATTTCATTTTCTGATTTGGTTTTTGTTTTTGGTCCATGCCTGTTGATGCTCAGGGCTTACTTCTGGTTCAGTGCTCGGGGAATCTCTTGGCAGAACTTGGGGGACCATTTGTGGTGCCAGGGACTGACTGCAGGCAAGGCAAGCATCTTACTCCTTGTACTATCTCTCAGGTTCCTATTCCAATTTTTTATAAGTGCTAGAATAATTTTTATGTTTCTAGTTGGTTTTAAGTGTTCAGAATGTACTGTCACTGTCCTCCCATTGTTCATCGATTTGCGCGAGCAGGCCCAGTAACGTCTCTGTTGTGAGAATTGTTGTTACTGTGTTTGGCATATCCAATACATCACGGGTAACTTGCCGGGCTTTGCTGTGCGGGCAAATTAGTATTGGTAGCTTGCTGGGCTCTCCGAGAGGGGCGGAGAAATCGAACCCAGCTTGGCCAGGCTGGCTGCGCTCAAGGCAAATGCCGTACCACTGTGCTATCACTCCAGAATGTACATATATAGAATTTAGCATAGTGTAACCTTATTTTTCTCCTTAGTATTAGTATTTTTTTGGATAATTTTTTCAAAATTATTCCAAAAATTAGTTTAATTTTTCCAGTTACAGTATTAGTTAATTTTCAGCTAATATTTTCCAAATGTTTTCCAAGACTTGTATTAAGTTATATATCTTTGACTAGTACTTAATTTTATACATAGTTATTTATGATTGATAATTAATTTTAATGAGCTATTCTTCATTACAAGATACCTTGTGGCTTAATTGACATAATTCATATGCTTTAGAATCTACTGTGTTTAGGCCATTATTGTTGGTAATGTGGGATAAATGAAGAGATAAAAAGATGCTTTCCCATTCATTAAACTCTTAAAATTTTTATCAAACTGTCAGATTTTATTTTTGTGAAATTAATGCCTGTTTTACACTTTTATCAACAGTGTCTTAGAATTTCAGTTGCTCTGCATTCTTGCTAACATTTAGTGCAGTTAATCTATTTTTGTTTTTTAACATGCTTATAAATGTTTTGTGGTATCCTTAGAGGACTTAATTATTATTTTTCTGTTGAACCTTTATTTTGATTTTTCGTGAACCTATTGGCCTTTAATGTATGCCCATTGTAAAGTATATGTTAAGTGTTAGCCTGTTTTAAATCTTTTTTTGGTTTCATTCCTAAATTTGTAGGTGTTCATTATAGATTATCTAAAGTCACATCCTTGTCATATGCATTGCATAGTTTTATTTTTCCAACCTAAGTTTGAAAAATAGTATCTTTTAATTTCTAATTTTAATTCTGTTTAGATTTTCAAATAATTATTTCCTGAGTAGACCCTTTCAATTTTCTTTGCCACTCCTGGCAATTGCTCAGGGCTACTCCTAGATTTTTTTTTTTTTAAGATTTTTAAGAAAAATTTTGATGAGATATAGTTAAAATATAATTTTTTATAACTATTGTTTTGTGTGACATGTTGTTATGAGTACTTGCACTTTGAAAAAGAGAGAAAGTAGTCTTTTAATTAGTTTCTGGAGGAGTCTGATTTTGTTTTCTCATCTTTCTAAAGTGTGGAACCTTTACTGTTATTATGTGTGATGTGTTTTCCTCAGTCACTCAAGTGAGGCTCAGGGGATCTCTTCTCAGATGGGATTATGTATTTTGATTTTGTTGTGTTGTGGTGTCATTTTTTTCATGTTTACATGTATTTGGAAACTTTATTACTCTTTTTACCTTTTAATTTTGGGTGGCCAGTGGTTCAGTGCCTAGTTGCAGGAGATGGTGTTGTCTGGGCACTGTGCTGTTGTGCCAGGATTCCCTGGGCAGCCCTGGCAGTGCTCAAGAACCTCCAGGGCTCCACGTGGGTATGATTTGCTTGGCATTCAGCTGGGGTTGACCACATGCAAGGCAATGATCAAATCTATGGGTTTAGACCTGTGAATTAATAATTTTAATACCATAATTAGAACCATTAGTTGCATAAATTTTCTTAGTTATCGTGGTAAATTCTTCTCTCTCCTTTAGTAATTCTAGTTACTTTTATTTAGTTGGCTTGAAATTTGACAGATCTTTCTGGTGCTTTGTTCATTTTTTTTCTCTTTTTTCCCCTTTCAATTTAAAAAAGAAACTCAGATCAGTGCTGCAGTGTTGTATATCTGAAACTTATTTATGAAAGACTTTTGTAAATCACAGTGCTTTATTATGTTTTCAAAAAAGAAAAACAATAAACTTCCTAATATTCTGTATCAAAATTTCTTTTAATCTTATATAATTTATTTTTTTATTGTAGAAACCATTATTTTGGTATCTAGAAGTTCAGTTTGAATTAAAAACTGTATATCTTGAGACTAGAGATATAAAACGGGATAAGCTAGTTGCCTTACATATTGTCAATCCAAAGTGGATATCTCTGGCAGCACATATGGTTCCCTGAGCCTCACTGTGAATGATCCCTGAGCACAGAGCCAGAAGTATACTCTGAGCACTGTCAGCCATGGCCTCCTCCAAAATGCCTCAAAACAAATATATCTTCCTTATCAATTCATGTGTGTTTTCAGTATTACTACATTTTATTTACATACCTGTTTTAGAATTCTTTTTAATTTTTATTTATTTTATTTTTTCATTTTTTATAATTTTATATTTATTGAATCACCGTGAAAGCAGTTACAAAGCTTTTGGGTTTAAATCTTGGTCATACAATCAAACACCTGTACCTTCACCAGTGCCCATTCTCTACCCCCAAAACCCCATTGTACCCCCATCCCACACCCTTCCCCTACCTGTGGGGCAGATGATTTCCACATTATTCTCTCTCTACTTTGATCACATTCAATATTTTGACACCAGACCCACCATTATTATTTGGGATTTTACTCCAACACTCAGATCTGCTGAAAAGGCAACAGTAGACAATTCATTTTCTATTGCTGGTTAACAATAACATATGATGTCACATGGCTGCAGTAGCGATTTTGAAATTCCGAAATTTTAACACTTAAATCTGGAGATTTGTTCCTGAGTCTCCGGGATCATGGCCGTTAAGCAGCTTGATCAGGCGCCATAGAGGCCGTTAATGGATGGCAACTCGGGGTCTCGTTGGGACAAGGAGGAATGGGTTGGATCCACCCCCATTCTGTGAGGCCCCGCATGTCTCGTCATTGTGGGCCAAGACTGTCCAGTGGCTTCTGGAGGATGGTGGCCACCAGGCCGCCAGGGGGAACAGTCCGAGGCACAAAACCTATTCCCACCTGGGTTGGCAGGGACTGAATGCATTTTTTCCAAAAGCCGTTGGGTTTCGAGATTTGTTTTTGAGTCTCCGGGATCATGGCCATTAAGCAGCTCAATCAGGAATCAGAGAGGCCATGCCTCCAATTATATAGCTGAGCCAGAGGTGGTTTGTGGGTTTGTTTCCCACATACCTAACTTTTGGCCGTTTACTTTCTTGGTAAACTTTGCCCCAAGTTTTTGGGGTCTGGCCAAAGGCACAGCAGCAATTTTGGGGTATCTAGAAGTCTGAAGGCGCCATCAGGCTGCTGATGCACTCACCTCACAGGTACAGATTGACCTGCTGGTGGCACCATACCCCCCCCCCCCCCCCCCCCGTGTTCTTTTTTATTTTGGCTGACTTTGTCCTTCATTCTTTGCATGCTGGATAATTGTTAATCCAGTGCCATATCTTATGAATTTGACCTTGTGGCTGCTAGATATGTATTGTAGCAAACAGTTGTTACTTGGAAGAGATGAATTATTTGTTTTGACAGTACTGGGTATCAAACTAAGGATCTCACACATGCAACAAATAGTTTCCTGGTGAGCCATATTCCTGCTCCTTGCTTCAAAGGTTTTGCATTAGATGCATTAAATATCTAGAAAATATAGGATATTTTCAAGTAGTATGTGTATCTATAGATTTACCCACTGAAGAATAGTTATCTATGAATCTGTTGGAAGCTGCTTTTTTCTTGAATTTTTAAAAGGTATTTTTTTCTGAATTCCATGTTGATACGTTTTTAAGAAAAATTTTTTTTTGATTAAAATGTTGTTGAAGATTTGAGGGAGTTTGTATTTAAAGAGAGATGGAAATTTAAATCTTTAGCTTGCCAATTCATGTAAAAAAATAAAATTTTTTTGTTTATTTATCTGCAGAAAGGGGAAGATATTAATTTATGTAATCCTCTAATAAAATCACTAACATTATTATTTTTCTTAACCTATTTGTAAAAGTAGTTTTATTATAATTATTTCATTTGCTTTATAATTTTTTTATGTCTTATGCATTTTGCGTAGGAGCACTTGCCGTTATCTTTATCATTGGGTTTTTATCAGAAAACAAATACTTGCCTAGGATAATTTTGAAAGATACTGTGTTTCTAAGAAAAGCTAGTTAAACAAAAATATCAACTTTATTTTGCGGAAGTATATGTTTTACTTTCAGTTGCAAAATAAAAAAATTTGTGTCTATCAAATACATAAAAAATTTTGAGTTAAATTGCCACTCAAATAACATTAATTGTAGCCTATACAAGGAGGAGGACGCTACATACAAAAACTTGAAAGTAAAGACATTTGAATTGCTAATTTATTGGTTAAAAAGAATAATCAGTGTATGATTTGTTAATACTTTACATGTAGAAGGAAGGATGTGGGTAAAACACTTCCATAGGATTCACATTTGTAGTTTTCCTTTGAGTTGAATCCTCTTTAAGATGTCTGTAATTTGATTTAAAGGTGCTGAAGATGAAACAAGAATAGATGTGCAATATCCTGCTCCGTACAAGGGCCAAGAGATGTATTCGCATCAAGAGGATGAGCAGCCGCAGGGATGGGTATCGTGGGCTTGGTCATTTGTGCCTGCGATCGTCAGTTATGATGATGGCGAGGAAGACTACCTTGGGAATGATCCTGCATCAACCACGCACCAGCAGAAAGCACAGACTTTGAAGGATCCCATTGTTTCTATTGGATTTTACTGTACAAAGGCGACTGTGACTTTCAAAGTAGGTTTCTTTCTGTTGTGCATCTGTCATCTTCAGTACTTTTGCTTTCTATTAAGAATCCAGCTTCAAGGTTGGCATATCGAATACGTCATGGGCAGCTTGCCAGGTTTTGCCGTGTGGGTGAGATACTCTCGGTAGCTTGCCAGGCTCTCCGAGAGGGGCAGAGGAATCAAACCCGGCTATCTCTCCAACCCAAGAAATAATATTTTCAATTAAAATGATTAGTTTTTTGGCACCCTTTTTGTAAGTTTTTTTAAAAAAATATATATATATTTTCTGCCTTTCAAGATAGGGTGATCTTAATTTTGACTTTGTTTTTCTTTGGCTTTAAATTTTTAAAATTTTGTGCCCCCCACACAGGTACTCTGGGCTATTTCCAGCTTGTTGCTTGGGAGTAACTAATAGTGGTGCTAGGGAAACCATGTGGTGCTATGGCTAGAACCTGCACTTCCTGCAACTCTTTTTTTTTTTTGCTTCTTGGGTCCTACCCGGCGATGCACAAGGGTTACTCCTGGCTGTACATTCAGAAATTACTCCTGGCAGTGCTCAGGGGACCATGTGGGATGCTGGGAATTGAACCCGGGTCGGCCGCGAACAAGGCAAACGCCCAACCCACTGTGCAGTTGCTCCAGCCCCTTGCTGCAACTCTTAAGAAAAGCCAAGAACTAGGATCAGAGAGATAGTACAGAGATTATGGTACTTGCATTGCATTCTGCTGGTCCTGATCTGCACTGCCAGGTACACAGCAGAATTGGTCCCTGAGCACTGCTCGATGTGCCACCTGCTCCCCCCTCCTCCCCCCAATCCCCAAAGAGTAATGAATAGTTCTGGAAAATAGCTATCTAGCCCTCTTTGTTGACATCTAAAAAATTAATAAAAAACATTTTGGTGCCATGGTTTACAATACTGTTAGTAATAGGGCTTCATGCTAGTAAAGTCCAGTACCACTCCCTCCCCCAGAGTGTCCACTTACCTATACCATTGTCCAGGGTCCCTACATCCTAACCCCTTCCATCTCCCCACTTCACTCCCTGGAATTCCAGTTCAGTTTCTTTTGTCTTTGAGCATTTGTTATACTTTGCTTTCCCCCCTTTATATCCCATTCTTTGGCTTTTAATGAGAGCTACAACATATGAAATACTCATGGGAAAAAAATGAATTTATCCAAAAAAACGTATATTAATACCCACCTATGTGCCAACTGTTAGTTCTGTATAGAAAATGCATTTACCAGATCAGATATAAATCATGGCCTTCTAGAAAAGAAGTTACTATAAATGAAGGACATATAATATGCCACTAATTATAAGGGTATTATAGAAAATTAGAAGAAGTTATTTTACATTACTTAGAATGGGAGAGAATTATTCAGTTAAAATAGGTAATAGGTGATTATGGATGACCATAATAAGAAGAGTACATTTAAGCGAAGACCTTTGAGACCTTTGTAGATAAATGGGAATAAATATTTTAGGAAGGGCCAGAGATTCAAATGACACCGATTCTTTGAGTCTCTGGCACCTTGTGGTCCCCTGAGCACTGCCAGGCATAACCCCTGAGTACTGTCAGGTGTGGCCCTCAATCTTCACCCCCAAAATAAGTAGAAACTCTTAAAATATATGTTCCTCAAAGGTCCTGAAAGTATAAGGGTGAGGAGACCAAGAAGAACAGTGAGATTGGTCGAAGAGAACTAATGTGAAAGTAATAATACCAAATGAGGCCAGAGAGGTACTGAGGTTGGGAGAGAGACATCACCTGCATGTGGGTCATCTCAGAGACTTTATCATGAATCCTCAAAGAGAGAGGAAGGTTGGGACTGTGTTTAGCACAATAGTTATAGGATGTTCTGAGTGACAAACTGTATCACTGGCTACTCTGTTGAGAATATATTATGAGAAGGCCCAGACAGGAGAGCAGACAAGGACTGCTATTTTCTTTTATATTTATTTCTGGTTTTGACCACACTGGGTTGGTCATTGCTGGGGGAGGTCACTCCTGGAGGCGCTGTGACTGAAATTTGAATGTCAGCCCTTTGAGCTATATTTCCTGGACAGGATTACATTTTCAAGTGAGAGGTAATGATGGCTTCTCGGATTAGGGTAATGGCAAAAGGAGAAGGCAAATAGAAATTAGATTTTGGATGGACTTTCAATGTCAGGAATATGGAAATTCCTGATATATTTATTATAAAACATGAATGAAATAAATTCTAAGGGTGACCCTTGAGAACTAGGATTAAGTTCTGATTTTGGTAACTGAGGGAGGAAGACAAAGGATTAGATTTGAGATAAAGCACAAGAGTTTGGTTTTTGACAAGTTAAAATACCCTCTGTATATTCATATGGAGTCACAGTCACAGTCCCGGTCCTCCCATTATTCATCGATTTGCTCGAACGGGCCCAGTAACATCTCCATCATGAGACTTGTTGTTACTGTTTTTGGCATATTGAATACGTCACGGGGAGCTTGCCAGGCTTTGCCGTGCGGGCGAGATACTCTCGGTAGCTTGCCGGGCTTGGATTTATAAATATGGTGTTCAGATTAGAAGTTTGTTCTAGGTACATAAATTGGAGAGTCAGGATTACTATGAGACTGGGAATAGTATAGACAGCAGATGATTCTAGGACCGAGATCTGGTCTTAGATGTTCAATATTTGGAAAGATAAGAAAGAAACAGCGAGGGAAATGGAAAATAAGTGAGCAGTGAGAAAGAAACCAGTAGCATGTCTGTTGGGAACCTAAGTGCAATTAATAACTAAGGTGAAGGGTGTAGGTTATGTGAATGGAATTTTGGATCTGTATATGCCTCTGTCTTTGTTTCTCTTCTTTTGGGCATTATGGGTTTGTGTACAGGCACTGAAAGGTTATCATGCATATTTCTTTACTTTCCGCACTCTATCTTGTTTGGACTCTTAAAATTTTGGATCTGTATATGCCTCTGTCTTTGTTTCTCTTCTTTTGGGCATTATGGGTTTGTGTACAGGCACTGAAAGGTTATCATGCATATTTCTTTACTTTCCGCACTCTATCTTGTTTGGACTCTTAAAATTTTCTTTTTCTTCTCCAACTTTATATGTCTCTGTGAGTTTATACTAGAGGCATTTTTCTTGAAAGGTAAATTCATGGGTAAAATCTGTGAAATTAGTAGTACAGGTATTAGCTTGTAAGATACTGGAAATATAGTGGTGGAAATTTCTGCTCTCATGATGTTTTTAATTTAGCTTTATTGTTTAGGTGTTAATAAAATTCTTTTTTCCAATCAGCAATAAACTGTCTATAGCTCTTGCAGAAGGTAAAGATATTTTGAATGGTCTTAAGACGTAAAATAATTATTGTATTTTAGTATGACTAAAATTTAAAATAGACTATTTCAACTAAAGCTAAATGACAACTTGTTTAAAAATTTTTTTTATGGTAGAGTTTGGAGTAAAAGTTACAAAAGTGCTTATATTAGATGCATTGTCTGAATATTGGTTATATCTGGACTCAAAATTGTTTTTGTAATTGAACTTCAATGACTTAACTTAGATTAAAAAATATGGCTCAGTATATAAAATTATGATGATTAGACAATAAAAATCTTTGAAAATACAATGAAAAGCTAAATGTCAGCTATTATTAGATATATTGTCAGTTTTAGGTGACCCGCCCCCCAAAAGATGGTTTTAATCGGAGTGTCTGAGGGAAGTCAAGGATTTAGTAGAAAGCTACCTTATCTCTTTATTTTTTCCTACATTAAATTTGATTAAATAAAATTATTCTGTTACATTTCAGATGCCTTCATTGATAGAGTAGGCTTTTATATATATAAAACTTTCATAGACTGCTGGGGCACTAATGATCTCTTCACTAGCTAATACGTTTGTATTTTTAATATGACAGAATTTTGCAATAGAATGTCTCAACTAAAGCTAAATCACAACTTGCTTTAAATTTTTTTTTCATGGTAGAGTTTGGAGTAAAACTAACAAGTGCTCATATTAGTTGCTTTGTCTGACTGCATTGTCTGAATGCATTGTCATTTGTTAAAAGGTTGAAACGTTTATATCTTTAAGGGAAATGTGTTGGTAATGTGGGAGGAAACATTAGAATTCATTATTCAGTTTGGATTTTAAGAATGTATGGAATTAATTTGTGGTTCATATTTTGGTCAGAAAATAAGGTCATATTTCTGCATTAGCATTCAGAGCAGTTGATATCAATCCAGCAAAAATCATGCCAAATTAAATGTAGCATTTAAAAAATAATGTTGAAAATTGTTCTTGTAATGTTTGAGTCCTTTTAATCAATTAATTACTTTTCCTCTACAATAATTGTAGACAGCTGAAGGTTAATGAAGTTTAAAATATTCAATATTAAGCATACTAGATTACATAATTGTATTTTAAAAATGCCACATTATAAAAAACAGTTCTATAAAGATTGAGTGTATAAAGACTTAAATGAATCACTGTTAAGAAAAAATTATAAAAAATTAGTTGAATATTAATCTTAAGATGTCTTATACTTAGAATCTAACTTTTTTGATTTTGTTGCTTACATTAAGTATTGCATGAAAAGAGTTATCTTTGACTTTGCATTTAAAGATTTTTTATTTTTACTTTCCTTGACGTTTAAAGAATAAATTCACTTTATTGAATAAGTCCAGAATCATTAGCAAACATGGGATAAAATATTTGAAAAAGTACCTATTTTGGAATGGTTTAGATCTATTGAAAGAGTCAAAGATGATACAGAGTTCGCAGTTAATCTTCATCCAGTTTTCTGTATTGTTCATATTTTTGCTATGATAGTACACTTATCAAAACCTAGAAGCCAGCATTTGTACATTACTATTAGATCTCAAAGTTTATTTTCATAGAATACCTTTTTCTTAAACATGACTCAAAACAGGATACCATACTATGTTTAGAAAAGATTGTTTTGCTTATTATTTTACTTCATTTTTTGTTTTTTGGACCAACCCAGCTTGGCCGCTTGCAAGGCAAATGCCCTACACACTGTACTGTCCCTCTCACCCCCCTTTTTTGAATTCTCTAGAGTAGCACTCGTCCAGCAGGCTCTCACTATTTATTGCATTACTGAGCCTACATGGCATACCGTGAGATAAATACTTTTCACATAATGCCTAGGAACCTACTTCAGCAGTAATATGAAGAAAAAATGTTAAGAGAACTGGGATGTTATTTATCAATAGAGCACTTTTCCTTGCACGTGTGAGGCCCAGGTATCAATCCTTGACACTGTTCTTCTCGCCACCCCCAAAAGTTAAAAGGTTTTGATGTTTAAATTTTCTATATGTGCATATTCAACCTTTGTACCATTGATACACAGTCTGTTACAGCTCTTTGGTAGCTCTTGGTTTCCTGCTTAATAATAAAATCTCCCCCAAACTTAAAAAATTGGCCTTGTTTCTATCAATTTATTGTAATAATAGTATATTGTTGTTTACTAATTTAATATTCTCATATTGTTTCTTAGCTTACTGAAATGCAAGCTGAAAGTAGTTATTATAGTCCTCAGAAAGTAAAATCTAAAGAAGTGTTGTGTTGGGAACAAGAAGGAACTACTATTGAGGTAATCTTTCAGCACTGAAAATATGTACTTTTAATCTTTTGAGTGACACTTAAAGTTGATTTGTAATAGTTTTTACTGTATGCCTAAAGTGTAATTTTAACGTATTTAAAAATTTTTTGAGTTTAATGTTTTTATTTCAGTGTGATCAATATTGGTTAAAATAAGTATTCTTTTAACATTTTACTCTAATAGGCAACTTATTTCATTTTTAAAAAAACTTTAGCTTATGTTCATGTGTTTGAGTATATTAGGGTGCATGAAGTCCCTGTCACTGAGATATAAAGATTGAGCGTGTACTGATAAGTAAGATATTTCTTATTTTAATAGAATATATGGGCTGAGGAAGGATATATTGAAAATGTCATAATCCTAAAGGTGTATCAACTGATTTAGCCTGTGTATGAGAAAACTCTGAAACATTTAAAATGAGTTCAAGTTCTTTCACCTCTTATCTTTTCCTTTCCTTTCCTAGGCCCTTATGATGGGAGAGCCGTTCTTTGATTGCCAGATTGGTTTTGTGGGTTGCAGAGCCATGTGCCTTAAAGGAATTATGGGTGTTAAAGATTTTGAGGAGAACATGAATAGAAATGAAACTGTAAGTCAACTTTTCTTCCTGTTTCTTATAGAGTGCAGAGATAAAAAAGTGCTTATTGAAGGGTTTTGTAAATCATGAATGTAGTGATTTGTATGGTCATGGTCACAGTCGGTCCTCCCGTTCATCGATTTGCTCGAGCGGGCCCAGTAATGTCTCCATCATGAGACTTGTTGTTACTGTGTTTGGCATATCAAATGCGTCACGGGGAGCTTGCCAGGCTCTGCCGTGCGGGCGAGATACTCTCGGTAGCTTGCCGGGCTCTCCGAGAGGGGCGGAGGAATCGAACCTGGCTCGGCTGGGCCGGCCGCGTGCAAGGCAAACGCCCTACCGCTGTGCTATAGTGGCAGGGTGTTTGCCTTGCACGCAACTGACCCGGCTGACCCAGGTTCAATTCCTCCGCCCCTCTCGTAGAGCCCGGCAAGCTACTGAGAATATCTCGCCCGCAGCAAAGCGAGGCAAGCTCCCTGTGACGTATTGGACATGCCAAACACAGTAACAACAAGTCTCACAATAGAGTCGTTACTGGGCCTGCTCGAGCAAATCGATGAAAAACGGGAGAACAGTGCTACAGAACAGTGCTTGAAGGGTTTAAACTGTACCAAAATATCTTTTAGACTGTATGCATCTCTGAGAGAGGGACTTGAACTCTTCCCTACATAAGAAATTATAGAGTTCAGGGGAATTTGGAAAGTTGGTAGCGCTTAACACCTGAATCGTAGTTTCAGATACTTTCCTATTCATAAATGTTTCTTCTTTCTTTTTTTCCATTTATAAAACCTACTTGGAGTTCCTTTGGTTTGTTTAAGAAGTGTTCTTTTTCGAAACAGGTGGTGAAACTGAAGACAACATTTCTTTTTTTTTTTATAGGACTCCTAGTGATTTCTGTTAACTATTGAATGAGTTTTGTAAAACCAAAGTTTTTTTTAAAAACAGTTAAATCATTCATCTTCCTACCCTCATCCCATATTAATTATTTTGCATTTCTTTTCAGGAAGCCTGTTTTTTCATTTGTGGTGAAAATTTGAGTATGAAAGGTTTGACATATCTTACAAACTCATTATTTGATTACCGAAGTCCAGAAAATAATGGTACTCGTGCAGAATTTATCTTGGATGCAGTTCATCATAAGGTCAGAGAATAGAGAATAAATATTTGGGTCAGATTCTATGTTTTGTTTTGGGGGCTGCTTTGTGAATTCTTGTGATTGCTACCATTTTGAATATATTCTAAATACTAATTGCTTCTTGAAAAATTTAGAGTATTTTTGCCCAGTTTCTGTGTCTAGAAGTGTTGAAGAATACACAAAGATCTCTACCTTTGTATCCATGGTTAACTTATGTATTCCATACTGTTTAATAGAAGATAATAGAATTACCTTTCATTCCAGTTAGCTTTTGGGTTTGGGATTAATAGGAAGTGATAAAGGATTATACATCTTACTATGTTTACATTTTAGTATTTGAATTTTCAAAATAAAATTGTATTAATGTACTTTTAATGGAAGAACGACACTTCATAAGACACTTCCTCTCCATTTTCCATAATTACCACCCCATGTTTGATGGAGTTGAGACAATAGGCAACAAATCATAGAGAGCCTGGCAAGCTACTGAGAGTATCCCACCCACACGCGCAGAGCCTGGCAAGCTCCCTGTGGTGTATTCGATATGCCAAAACCCGTAACTATAACAGGTCTCATTCCCCTGACCCTGAAAGAGTCTCCAATTATTGGGAAGGATGAGTAAGAAAAGGCTGCTAAGACCACAACACCCAATAGGAGAGAGAGAACAAAAGGGAATGCCCTGCCACAGAGGCAGGGTGAGATGGGAGGGATGGGGGTGGGAGGGATATTATCCATGGTGGTGGAAAATGGGCACTGGTGGAGGGATGGGTATTTGATCATTGTATAATCGAAACCCAAGCACAAAAAATTGTAAATCTACAACTGTACCTCATGGTGTTTCACTAAAAATAAAAAAGTAAAAAAAAATAAATAAAGAAAGAAAGAAAAGGCTGCTAAAATCTCAGAGCTGGGACGAATAGAGAAGTTACTGGTGCTTGCTCGAGTAAATCAACGAACATTGGGATGACAGTGATACAGTGATACAGTGAATGGAAGAAATTAAAAAATTCAAAAAATTGCCTGAAGAATGGAATAGGTAATTCACTAATCAAGTCTTTCACTGTAGATTTACTTTTCAAAAAAATGTTTTTTGGGTCATACCCTGCAGTGCTCAGGGCTTACTCCTAATTCTACGCTCAAGTATCACTCTTGGTGGGGTCTGGGATCATATGGGATGCTGGGGATATAATCTAAGACGCCTGGTTGACCATGTTAAGGCAAGTTCCCTTTCTGCTGTACTGTTGCTCTGTCCCCTAGATTTAATTTTTTAATCGAAGGTCAGGAAATTAGTATTGAACATTAATTAGCATACGTTCAAAATGTTTTGGTATGTTTTTAGTGTTTGAACTGCTTTATGTAAACGTAACAAAATACTTTAAGATATGTTTGAGAATATACATTATTAGACAGTTTTTCTGATGGTCATGAAAGTTAAGGTTGTACCATCTGCCATTATAGATATTCAGTAACCAGACTTTATTGATAAAGTGATCACAACATCTAGTAAAGTTACCAGTGTCCTTTTGTGTGTTTTATAGTACGGGTATCATTATTGTTAGAATAGAATTTTTTGGATAACTTTTGCTGTTTCAAAATATCTTTTGAAAAAAAAACTTTCGAGTTCATACATATTCTATGTAAGGATGTGTATTTGATTTTTTGACCTATCGGATTTTAAACTGAAAATTCAAAAGATTCTTCTAGGGCTGGAGTGATAGTACAGAAGGTAGAGCGTTTGCTTTTTACCGGGCTGACCTCTGTGCATTCTCTGGCACCCTATATGATCTTGAGCCCTGCCAGGAGCACTGCTGGGTTGGTGGAAAACAAAATGTTTCTTCTGATGTTTTGTTTGCTTTGTTGCAGGAGGCATACACTGAGGTAGCCGGAATGCAGAGGTTTGGTGCCTTTTATATGGATTACCTGTACACAATGGAGAGCACCAGTAGCAAAGGTACTGAATTCTCTCTTCTGTGTCTGCTTTTTCTTACCAGAAACAAAGCCTGTTTCTGAATAACTTGCTCTTTGTCTGGTACGCTTTTAGTTGTACTTTTTTTAAAAAAATATAATCTTGTGAATGTAATTCTTAAAACATTAAATTTTTTAGATTTATTATTGGTTTGCAGTACTCCAAAATTTTGGGAGGACACCTCACTTGTAAGATTCATATACCCACCCTGAAAATTCCAGTACCATGACACTATCAAAATGATGCCTTTGCCCATTCCTTGCTCCATAATAATTAGACATCATTTCAAATGCTTTTCTAAACCTTAAGTCAGTGGCTGAAAATGTTATCTACAACAGGAAGATTTTTTGAAATATAAAGATGAGATTTATATTAAAAAAATTTGGGGGGTCAATCTAGATTCTGTAGTCAGTGGTCATTTCTTTCTGGTGGAGTCTGGGAACCATATAGGGTATTGAGGATTGAACCTGGCTTGGCTGTGTACAAAGGAAATTCTCTTCATGCTATGCTATTGTTCCTGCCCCTAAAGATAAAATTTGATCAGCTCCGTTATTGGATTGAGGAAAGGATGAAAGAGAAGCATTACAGTTGATTGCTTTTTTTGTATTGTTGATATATTGCGATAGCACAGCGGTAGGGCGTTTGCCTTGCACGCAGCCAACATGGCCGACCCGAGTTCGATTCCTCCGCCCCTCTCGGAGAGCCCGGCAAGCTACCGAGAGCATCTCGTCCGCACGGCAGAGCCTGGCAAGCTCCCCATGACGTATTCAATATGCCAGACACAGTAACAACAAAGTCTCCAATGGAGACGTTACTGGGCCAGTTCGAGCAATTGTTACATGTTGATATAACTTGATTGTTAATGATTCTACTTAAGGATTAGTTTTCTAGTTTCTTGGGTAGCCCTGAAACAGTCTTTCTCCTTTAAAGTTATGAGTTTTATACCCAAAATTTAAAGTTATAAGATAAATGTTGACAAACTTTAGTGAGAACCATGGGGAAAGAAAACAGGTGGATCACTCGTGAAAGAACCTAGTTAGGGACGTAGATTTTTTCACAAGTGAAGGTAGATTCTTTGCCCAAGGATAGCACAAGAGTGGAGTTGTTTTGATAACTTTCAGATTTCCTCTTCAGAGACGGGGAAGATTCATTTTCTTCAAGTCAGTATAAAAATCAGGTGGTGCCTCTAGCTTTCCTTGAGATACTGAGAAACCCTCATCTACTCGCACTGGCTATATATTAATTAGAAGAAGAGCCATGTGTGCTGAAAGTAGACTATAGACCGAACACCATGGCCACGCAGTACCTCTATTGCAAACCACAACACTCTAAAGGAAAGAGAGAGCAAAAGGGAATGCTCTGCCACAGAGGCGGGGCGGGGTGAGGGGGATAGGTTGGGGGGGGGGGTGGAAGGGTTACTGGGATCATTGGTGGTAGAGAATGAGCACCGGTGGAGGGATGGGTACTTGATCATTGTATAACTGAAACCCAAGCATGAAAGTTTGTAAGTCTACAACTGTACCTCATGGTGTCTCACTAATAAAAATTAAAAAGAAAATGGACAGTAGTAGTGACTGTTCTTGTTAAATCAGGCTTTTTGGGGGTGGGGATTGATATGAGGTGAGGGCTCCTCTGTGATTCTTGGCCATTGGGGCCAAGGGTGCAAGGGCCAAGGATGCAGGGCTGCCTGGTGCCTGTAGTATGGGGACTATGGGCTTCTAGGGGTCTGCAGTTGACCATGCTCAGGCCCGTATGCAGTGCAGGGGACTTAAGCAAGGCCAGCCATATACAGGGCCTAAAATTTACTCCCTGTGCTCGTTGGCATATCAGATTGAATTGGGCATGAACTCCATCTTACTTTTTTTTTTCATAATTTTATTTATTTTTCTTATATTTATGTGTTGAATCACTGTGGGAAAAGTTACTAAGCTTTCAGGTTTAAGTCTCGGTCATACAATGATCAAACACCTCTCCCTTCACCAGTAATCATTTTTCACTACCAAGAACCCCAGTATGCCCCCCTCCCACCCCTCCCAATGCCTGTGAGGCAGATGATTTCTACTTAACTCTTCTCTACATTGATTACATTCATTATTTCGACAAAAGATGCACCATTATTGTTTAGAATTCCCCCCCCCCCCCCCCAACAATCAGAATTGCTGAAAAGGCATTGTGAAATACTTTGTTTTTGATAGCTGGTTATGAGAATCATATAATGTCATGTGGCTGCAATTTGGGATTTCTGCAAAGAGCCAGATAATTACGAGATTGGTTTCTGTGCGTCTGGTGTTATGGCTGTGCCGGAGAGCTGCTTGGGGGGAGGGGGGAGCAACTCGTGACCTCGGTAGGGCGTGAAGGATGAGCTGGTACTGTTCCGCTTCCCGTGAGACTGCAGTTGCTCTGTCACCACCAGCTCATACCTAGCTTTCCTATAAGATCTGAAGTGGTGGCCACCTTGCTGCCGGGGTGGAGGGGGGAAGGGCGGAGTGGAGCAACACTCTTTCCCTCCCGGGGAGGCATGGCACTGGAGTTTAACGTATGGTCCATTCACTTTTCTGCCGCAAGCTGCCAGGCTCTGGATTAAGTTCTTTTGCCTCTGGAGCCATGGCTGTGCCAGAGAGCTGCTTGTGGGGGGCAACTCGTGACCTCGGTAGGGAGTGAAGGACTAGCCAGTACCGTCCCCCTTCCCATGAGACTGCAGTTGCCCCATCACTGCTGGCTCATACCTGGCTTTCCAATAAACTCTGAGGTGGCGGTCACCTTGTATGTGGTCCAGATGCATTTCTGCCAAAAGCCACGGGGTTTCGAAATTTGTTTCTGAGTCTCTGGTATCATGGCCATTAATCAGCTTGATCAGGAGCCAGAGAGGCCGTTTGTAGACAGTGACTTGGGGTCTCATTGGGGTGGGGAGGAAAGGACCGGTTACACCCCCATCTGGTAAGGCCCCATGTGTCTCGTCACTGCAGGCCCAAACCCGACTGTCCAGTGGCCTCTGGAGGATGGCGGTCACCGGGCCGCCAAGGGGAACAGGCCAAAGCACGAAACCTATTCCCACCTGGAGTGGCCCAGCACCAGTAACCTACTGCAGGAACAGGACGCATTTCTGCCAAAAGCCTTTGGGTTCCGAGATTCGTCTCTGAGTCTCTGGGATCATGGCCATTAAGCAGTTCGATCAGGAACCAGAGAGGCCATGCGTCCAATTATATAGCTGAGCCGGAGGTGGTTTGTGGGTTTGTCTCCCACATACCTAACTTTTGGTCATTACTTTCTTGGTAAACTTTGCTCCAAGTTTTTGGGGTCTGGCCAAAGGCACAGCAGCGGGGTATCTGAAAGTCTGATGGTGCCATCAGGCTGCTGATGCACTAGCCTCACATGTACAGATTGACCTGCTGGCGACATCATACCCTCTGTTGGTATATTTTCTTGTATGTGAAGAGAAAATCATGTACCAGTTTCTGTGCATTTAGGTGACAGAACTGGTTTAAAGCACTAAGCTCTAAACTAAAAGAATGAGAGAGGAGTAATAATAAAATGCGGGGTGTGACTAACGCTTTACTGTAAAATTTAATCTTTTGTAGGTTCTGCAAACTTACAGGACTTTTCTCCAGGGAAAAGCGAAGATTTGGGAACAGTTCATGAGAAGTCTACTAAAAGCCTTGTTATCGGTCCTCTTGATTTTCGTTTGGATAGCAGTGCAGTCCATCGGATTTTGAAAATGATTGTTTGTGCTTTGGAACACGAATATGAACCATACAGCAGACTAAGACCAGGTTTGTTTTGGTTTAATTTGGACTTTCTTGCCAATTGATATGAATGATAGGTTATCCCATTTTGCTAACTTCGCTAGCTTTTTTGCCCAATTTTTATATATTCAGTTGTTATAAAAATCATATGTGGAATTATAGAGAGGCTAATAATTAGAAGGAATATGCTTAAGTCTTTGCTGGTATTTTGCTGCCATATCTTTTTTTGGGGGTGCAGGGAATAGAGTCGTAGGGGGAAGGGAGGTCTTGCCAAGCAATACTGAGGGACCTGGGGTCATCGGTCAGTTTGTATGGACAGTTCATTGTTGGTCCCAGCAGGACTGAGGGCTGACTGAACTACATGTGGCGGTGTGTGAGGAGCTGTGTGGTGCTGGAAATCCAACTCAGGGCCTTCCCCGTGCAAGGCAGGCGTCCCAGCTCTATGAGCTATCTCCTTGGTCCTTATTAGACCCCCCCCCCAACTTTAGGCACCTTGAGTTTCATTACTATTCACAACATACCAGTTTGTTTATGGGCTATACTTGGCAGTGCAGTGCTCTAGGGCTTACTCCTGGTTCTGTGCTCGGGGACCACTCTGTGGGGACTCCTGAGTCTATATATTGTGCCAGGAATTGAACCAGGGTTGGGCACATGCAAGGCTAGTGCCTTACCCACTATACTTTGTCTCTGGCCCCAATACATACCTTTTTGATAACTTTCATGAGTATGTACTTAAGAAATATGATTTTATTTTTCACTTAAGTAATCCAAAGCATCAGACATGAGAATGCACTTGACTGTAGGTATTTTTAATAAAATTTTTGCTTTTTCTTCTACATGGTTTAGAGATTTGATTATCTCAATTTTAGAAAATAATTTTTTTTTTTAAAATGTAACAGCACCTTGGAGTAGGACATCGTAGAAAATAAAGGAACATAGGATAGTAAAGAATTCAGTTGAATTGTACTATTGTTTGAGTTTTTGATCTTTTTCCTATTTCTATCATGGGTTTAATTATTGTGATAGAGATGGTTAAATTGTGCCCTGTTTTCTAGTCTCAGACTAGTACACATTTTTGTGCAATAACAAAGACAAAACTTCCCTGGTATAGTTAGATGACTAGGTATGGCTCTTGGTCTGGTTGGCAGAGCTTCATGTGAATTTTTTGGGTCAAGACTTCAAAGGAAGTGAAATATCTTCTGGGGCCCAGGTGATGACTCAGAGGACCGGGGTCATGTTTTGCATGTGGGAGCCCTACATTGGATCGATCTATGGTACTGGTTGGTCCCCTGAGCATTGCCAGGGTGATCTCTCACCCCTCCCTCTTCCCTTCAATGAAAACCGAAATCTCAAGGCCATTTCTTTTTCTTTTTCTATTTCTTCTGCCTGGGAAATAGTGATAACAGAGCTGCAGCTGCCATTTAATCCCCCAGGATGAAAGCAGCCAGGAACCTAGGTCTTGGACGGTGTGCTAGCACGCTGTCAGCCTTCTGCTTTCAGTTACTTGAGTCGGGGGCTGTGCCTGTGGTACTCATGGCTGCTCCAGCTGCCATGCACACAGACCTGCTCCAGATGAGGCTTTGGGTTCAGATGGTTGTGAAAGATAGAACCTGGGTTTCAGCATGCAAAGTGTGAGCCTCCAGGCCTTTGAGCTAGTTTAGTGGGCCAGTGCTGTATTTTAGACCCAGATTGTTGCTCGAGACAGGTGTAAGCTATTCTCCTAGCTTCTGTTATTTTAGAAATAGATTTGCTTTTCTCATAGCAAATATATTGTTGTTTAAAGTGATGTGCCAGTAGGGCTTAGTGCCCAAGACTTGTGCATGTAAAAGCACATGGCAGTACTGCATGCATGGTAAGTGGCACGCTCATGCATTCATTCACTGTGCCTGGCCTGAGATCTCACTTGATGCCAGGTACTGTTTTAAGTGCTGTCAATGGTAGCATAACTAAATGACCAAAGTAAACACTTGGCTACACAATGCTGGGAGGATGGGAAGCAGTTGAACTTCTTATTCATATATGGGAAATGAAAAATTTTATAATCACTTTAAACAGTCTGTCAGTTCTTCTAAAATAAAGTATTCAGCTACTAGATAGCCCAGCAACTGTACTTCTGTCATTTATCCTAGAGAAGTTAAAATTCTTATTCATATTCTCCCATTCCCCCCAAAGAAATAATTTTTCTAATGTAAAAGTACCAGTTAGTAGATTAAAATATCTAAGTAAATAGGAAGAAGAACAAGAGAAAATGGTAGCTATATACTTTCATTTAATTATACGTCTCATTCTGTTTACCAACACTCGATGACATTTCCACACCTAACTCAAATTTAGAGGGTTGTGTTGCTAAAAGAACAAGAATCAGTACTTCGGGGCAGTTGGTTACTGTGTTGCACCCACAGTGGAGTTAGGCCAGCTCAGCCCTGCAGGCCAGTTCTCAGGCACTGCTGTCTTTGTCCATTTGTTATCTCCCTCCTGTGTATCTTCATGTCCTGCCTGTGAGAGAGGTCATTCTCAATTTTGTGAAACTTTGAGAAGAATAGATGTTTTTCTTTGAATGTTATTTTAGAATTCACTTTTTAAAAATGATTAGAAAACATTTTTCTAAGCGTGAACATTATGTGAAATTTAATGTTATATTTTCATATGTAAAGATTTATTGTGGCATAGTTGTGTTGATTCAGTGATGTATGTTCTCTAGCTGCCTTTGTATATCTGTGGTAGATTTGAGAAATTGTGATAGATATAGCCCACAGTGTCTAAAAAGTTTTAGATTTGTTTCTGCATAGAAAAAGTTTGTTGATTTTGGTCTCTGAGCTTGCAAACACTTGGTATTTTTGTATTTTAATTTTTGGGCCTCCCTGACGTGCTAATGAACCCAGGTGCTACTCCTGGTTCTTCTTGACCCACAGATGTCCTGTCTGAATTTTAGGTTCTTGGACTGGCAAAATGCTGCCTGGCCTGGCCGTGTTAGGGACTCTAGGACCACCCTCGAAGTGCTCAGATACCACCTGGCATTTATCTGAGTCAAATTCCATTTTTGCTGGAGGCAGCAGGTAAACTGGTGCTGAGGAGGCCGTGGTGCTCAGGAGGACCATGCAGTGTTGGGCACTGAATGTGGGGCCTCGAGTTTGAAGAGCCTGCACTTCCCTCATTTGAGCTATTACTCCTCACCCTCCCAACATTTAGTATTTTTAGATGATCACGATCACGATCATCCTGTTGTTTTGTTGATTGCCTTGAGCAGGCACCAGTAATGTCTATTCGCCGTAGCCCTGAGATTTTAAAAAGTGCCATATTCAAGGCTCTTTCAGAGTTAGGAGAATGAATCATCATTGTTACTGTTATTTGGCATATTAGGTACACCACGGGGAGTTTGCCAGACTCTACCATGTGGGCAGGTTACATTCGGTAGCCTGCCAGGTTGTCCAAAGTAGGAATGAGATAATAAGATGTTGTGCAGCCACGAATGTGGCCACACGCTTCTGGTAGCTGGGTTTTATAGTCTCTGGGTCTTGGCCGTTGATGGGATTACACGGTGCTGGGGGCCCAGTTGGTGGGTGTCGCCCCTGCCTACTGGAAGATGGAGGATCTGGGTGGAGGATGCTCAGCCCCGATCCAAGCAGGCTTGGAGATCTCAGCCCTGGGATCTGCATGCCTTTTTAACTCTGCCGCTTCCTTCATGTGTGTGGAGAGTGGTCTCAGCATGGTTGTGGCTTGTTCTGGAGGTCTTTGGCTGCCGGGGCTCTGCTCAGGGTGGGGAGGGAAACTCAACCTGCCCACCTCCAAGGGGCCCTGACGAGGACAGCCAGGTGCGGGGGCAGGAGATTCTAGTGTTTTTAGACTAGTTTCAAAATTTTAGACTAGTTTAAAAATTTATCCATTCTGATGGGTATATGATATTATCACATTTAAACTTAATTTGTAGATTTTTGGTTTCTCATGTTGTTTTCTGGTGTATGGTAATGATTTTTGGCCAGTTGGCTATTCAGTCTTCTGCTGCTTCAAGGTATTTATGTTTGTTTCATTGAATATTATTTTTTGGAGTTAATAATTTAAAAAATGTTTGTCATATCTGTGGGAAATATTTCTGATCTGCTTTGGTTTTTCATGATCTCAGTAGACATGTTATGAACTGAATAATTATTTTTCAATGAAAGAGATGAATAATTTGTTTAAAATACTTAAAAACATCTTCTGATCCATAGTCAGACACGTTGTCCATTGCACAGCGGTAGGGTGTTTGCCTTGCACGCAGCCAACATGGCCGACCGGAGTTCGATTCCTCCGCCCCTCTCGGAGAGCCCGGCAAGCTACCGAGAGTATCTCGCCCGCACGGCAGAGCCTGGCAAACTACTCGTGATGTATTTGATATGCCAAACACAGTAACAACAAAGTCTCCAATGGAGATGTTACTGGGCCCGCTCGAGCAAATCGATGAACAACAGGAGGACAGTGACAGTGACTTAAAAACATAAATTTCATTATATCAGAGAGTACACATTAGCATTCTAGAGTTCTATTTATTAAAGGTAAAACTATATTATCTGATTTCCAAAAACTAAAATTTGACCTTAAAATTTAGGGAATTGATTTAAGAGAATTTTTATTTTGTTTTTTGGCCACGCTTGAGTAGTGCTCATGGTCTACTCCTGCGTTTATGTGTAAGGGTCACTTTGAAGCCGTGTGAGGTACCAGATGTGGGCTAGGAATCAAACATGGGCCAGACAAATGCAAGAATGCACCTTACCTTCTGTGCTATTTCTGTGCTATTTCTCTGACCTCAGTTTTAAAATGGTTTAAGAAAAGTAATTCTTCACCATTTTATCACTTTTATTTCAGATGTTAAGAATGAAAATGAAACAATACTGAATCCTGAAGATGTGGCAGCTTTGGAAGAGTATATTCCTACTCGACATACAAGTGTCACCCTCCTCAAAAGCACCTGCACTATTTTCATGGCTGAATTCAACTTGCTGGATCATTTACTTCCTGTCATTATGGGAGAGAAGGTATATTTCGTGGTCACTTATTTTATCATGTGTACGTATTTGTTATTGTGATAGTATTGAATGAGAAAGGTGATTAATCAAAGAATTCATGATCAGGTTAAGACAACGAATTTTATTGAAGCAACCACATTCTGGTGAGTTGTATGGCAGCAGTCCTAGCTGTCCTCTCCAGTGTGGCCATCTCTTTGGGGCCCAGTGGTACCGGGACTAATAGGGCCACATTCGCTCAGGGGCATCCAAGATTATCACAGCCATGCTTGGTGAAGGGTTACATGGTGCCAGGGATTGAATTTAGGTTCCCCACACGCCTCCACCCCTGAGTTATCTCCCCAACTCCCACTATTGGTTTTCGGAGTATTATTACTCTTTTTAGATGAGGTCTGCTGAATGCCAGTACTTCCATCCAATTGTTGACAGTGAAAGGCAGACAAAAATCACACCATGAAACTGCTTCTCCCATAGGTTTTCATATAGTTTTGAATGTGAGGTGATGCTTTTCCTGAAGAGAACCACAGATACGGTATTTTTAAGGTAGAGAGTTATGGAATAGGAAAAAGTTCTTTGCAAACCAGGGGTCGTACTCAGCTTGAAATATACCTGAATTTATCCAGAAGCTTGGAAAAGTTCCATAACTCTGAAAATACCAAACTCATCTTCAGATTCTTAGAACTTGTGAGTCTTGAGCATGTGTCCTTTTGGTATAAAAAACATGGATAAATTTGGGACTGGAGTGATAGTATAGTAGTGGTACGGCGTTTGCCTTGCACGCGGCCGACCTGGGTTCGATTCCCAGAATTCCATATGGTCCCCCAAGCACTGCCAGGAGTGATTCCTGAGTGCATGAGCCAGGAGTAACCCCCATGCATCTCTGGGTGTGACTTAAAAAGCCAAAAAAAAAAAAAAAGGATAATTTTTGTTCCTGTCCTGTAGACTGTACAGGACAAATGCTTCTTTTACCCTTTTTAGAGTATTTTATTAGTTGTTATTATTAGCTTCTTTTACCCTCTTTGGCGCAATGTGCGTAGTTCTTTAGCTAATTAAATGTGAATAAAGGGAAAGGAGATAAAATGTAAATGGATCTCAGTTGTCTAGGAAGTTCTCAGGGGATGTTTGAGCTCAAGTAAATAAGTTCAAGATTGGGAGATAACTCAAAGGACTGGAATGCTTGCTTTGTACTCGGGAGTGCTAGCTCTGGTCCTCTGCACAGTGCTGTGTGGTCTAGTTAGCACTGGCATGAGTATCTCCTGAGCATTGCTGAATGTGGCCGCCATCCCCAAAGGGTAGAAAATACCTTCACTTTGCATATATGACAGCTTGGCAACAGAAAACATACAAAAACCTCAACGAAATGAGTCATGGAGACACTGTTCTAGTTTTGTTTTGAATTTTTACTGATGTTGTTTGTGTTTGTTTTGGGGCCACGCCCAGCTGTACTCAGGGCTTACTCCTGGTCTGGGCTCAGGAATCACTCCTGGTAGTGCTGGGGAATCATATGTGGTGCTGTCCCTGCTGTTTTATCTCCGTGGCCCTGAGACACTGTTCGAGTTAATGGAAAAAAAAATGAAAGTCATTCGCTCAAAGAGCAGTGATCATTTTTGCAATAAAGAACTTATTATTTGAATCTGGGACATAAAAATATGTAAGGTGTCTTTATTGATTATGGTAAAGAGAGTTTCATCTAAAGGCATATTTTCTAAAATGATGATGCTAACTTAAAGCTTGTCATTATTTATCAGTCACTGTTCTACTCCTAAAATACAGAGTGCACCCTTTTATTTTCCAGAGTTCAAGTAACTTCATGAATACTACAAACTTCCAAGCTCTTCGTCCTTTGCCAGCCATTCAGATAGTAGTGGATAAAATTAATCTGGAGCATTCTGTGCCAATGTATGCTGAACAGTTAGTGCACGTGGTCAGCAGTCTTACTCAGCCTTCTGATAATCTGCTTCATTACTGCTATGCACACTGCTACCTTAAGGTCTGTAAAATGAATTTTCCTTCTTTAGTATCTGTGTGGCTTTGGGAGACTCAAATCTTTTAGTTCTTGGCGTTATAATTGCACGTAATAAATTACTTAATTTTATGGCTATTTGGAGCAGACTCAAAATGAGCTATTTAGTTTCGAAGTTTATAATAGTTTATGTTATGTGGAGTGATTAAAGTTATCTTTGAGAAAGTTTCCAGATTTGTATTTTACAGTTATGTTAAAATATTAAAGTTATAAGATTTAAGTTTGTATTTCATATATGTTTGGTATATAGACACTTAAGTAATTTTAAATTATACTCAAATGTTCAAGTTTTAATTTTGTATAGATAAATTTTATGTACTGACTATATGATGGAATAATGTCATTTCCATTTCATGTGATAAAATTTATTAATGTGAGTTATGGTAAATGTGTAAAGATCAAATTTTCATGTCTTACCAAGTCCTCTTTGACTTGCTAAACTCATTCTTTCATTATGTTTTGGGTCTATTATCTAACATACTGCAAAACATGTTTGAAATAACCATATTGTATGGTATTGGATGTTGGTGTGTAGACAACGAAGATAGAAGCTGCCGGCAGTGAGCCACATCTATTCAAGTGTAATCGTTTGATTCGGGTTGATCTTCTGCGCTTGTACCATCAGGTCCTTGATGGATGCATCCGATGCCAGCATACGTGCATTGAAAGTATAGACAGTCATTTTCGTCTTTCTTCATTTTGGCAGCCTAGTTCGGCCTTGAGATTTTATCAGCCTTTCCTTCCACATCCTTCTCAATGTTGCTGTATTCAGGGTCAGGGGAATGAGACCCATTGTTATAATGAAGGAGAAATTGAGAAGTTCTACATAGAGCTGGAGAAGTTCTATAAAGAAGATCACACCTTCTACAAGATCATTGTCGTTGATTTTAATGGCAAGATAGGACTGAGAAGATCAGCCGAAGAGCTCCACATTGGGGCCCATGGCCTAGAATGGAATGAACAGCGTGATAGACTGTCTGAGTTCATCATGTCAACCAAGACCTTCCATGGTAACTCACAGTTCCAAAAGGCTGAATCTAAATGTTGGACATGGGAGTCTCCCGGTGGACGGTTCCACAACGAAATTGACCACATCATATTCAGTCAACAGTTTTGCCTGACTAATGTCACTGTTATCCCAAAATTCCAAACGGGATTGGACCACTGTCTCCTTTGTGCAAAATTCTACTTCACAGAGCGGGGAGAAAGGAATGCAAAGATTAAGAAGAGAACTCCCAGAACGACCACCAACTCTTTGGCTCTGTTGCAGCAACATGGGAAGATTCCGTCATTGACAACATTGACGAGGAATACGATTGACTGGTTCAACACCTCCATGATTGTGTGAGGAATGCCAAGAGAGAGATAACCACAAAAAAAAAAAGCCTGACTTCGAAAACTCTTAAGCTTATTCACCAACGTGGCTTGGCGCGTGTCTCAGGCAACCACAAGCGAACGTCCGAGCTCGCAAAGCAGTGCAGAGAAGCAGTCAAAGAAGACCTTAAAGAGAGAAGAGCAGCAGTGCTGGTAGATGCGGCAGAAACTAGGAAAAGCATTCGTAACGCCCACCTGTCCTTCACCAACTACAGACCAAGATGACTGCCCTCCGATGTCCTGATGGATCTATCACATCTTCCAGAAGAGCAATGGAGAAGATTACCTATGATTTCTACTCAGATTTCTTTGATAGTCATGTCCACCTGCCCACATACCAAATTCTGCAGGATGGATATGTCATTCCCAATGTTCTCCCTTCTGAAATCCAACACGCCATTTTGTCGGTTAAGAAATGAACAGCACCCGGCCCAGACAAGGTCAGACCTGAACACCTGAAGAACCTGCTGTCAGCACTCATCAATATGCTGGCTCGGCTCTTCACATGCTACCTGTCTGAATGCAAGGTTCCGTCCCAATGGAAAACCAGCAGGACCGTAATACTGAACAAGAAGGGAGACATACACGACATTGGCAACTATCTCCCAATCTGCCTATTGTATGTCATCTACAAGCTGTTTACTCGAGTCATCCTGAATAGGAGTGGCAGAACACTAGATGAAGGACAACCATGCGAGTAAGCCGGGTTCCGCAAAGGAATTAGCACCATCGACCATATCCACACGATAACCAAGCTCACTGAGGTTTCTCGGGAGTTCAAGATGACACTCTGTCTAACGTTCATTGATTTAAAGAAGGCCTTTGATTCTGTTGAGACGGAAGCGGTCATCGAAGCCCTAGCCACCCAGGGCATTCAAGCCCAATACATCAAGATTCTCCGTGAGCTGTATTGCGGATTCACTACCAGGATCTCATCATTCTACAAAGAAGTGATCATGGATGTCAAGAGAGGGGGTCGGCAAGGTGATACCATTTCACCAAAACTCTTCAGTGCCACCCTCGAGAATATCATGTAACTACTGGAATGGGAAGGAATGGGAGTGAAGATAGATGGTCGGCAACTACACCACCTCCGCTTTGCTGATGACGTTGTTTTAATAACACCAAATATTAGCCAAGTGGACAGCACTCTTCCCCCCCTGAGGTGGCCGAGCGACAGTAGCCTACTGCGGGTTCCAGACGCATTTCTGCCAAAAGCCTCTGGATTTCGAGATTTGTTTCTGAGTCTCTGGGATTGTGGCTATTAAGCAGCTTGATCAGGAGCCATAGAGGTCGTTCGTGGCTGGTGACTCAGGGTCTCGTTTGGGTGGAGGAAAGGGCCGGCTCCACCCCCATCCCATGAGGCCCCTCATGTCTCATCACTGCGGGCCCGAACCTGACTGTCCAGTGCCCTTGGAGGATGGCGGCTACCGGGCCGCCAGAGGGAACAGGCCAAGGCACGAAACCTATTCCCATCTGGGATGGCCCAGCACCGGTAACCTACTCCAGGGACTGGACGCATTTCTGCTAAAAGCCGTTGGGTTTAGAGATTTGTTTCTGAGTCTCTGGGATTATGGCCATTAAGCAGTTCGATCAGGAACCGGAGAGGCCATGTCTCCAATTGTATAGCTGAGCCGGAGGTGGTTTGTGGGTGTGTTTCCCATATACCTAACTTTTGGCCGTTTACTTTCTTGGTAAACTTTGCTCCAGGTTTTTGGAGTCTGACCAATGGCACAGCAGCAATTTTGGGGTATCTGGAAGTCTGAACGTGCCATCAGGTGCTGATGTACTTGCCTCACATGTACAGATTGATCTGCTGTCAGCACCATACCCTTTGCAATTTTGGGGTATCTGGAAGTCTTAAGGTGCCATCAGGTGCTGATGCACTCACCTCACAGGTATAGATTGACTTGCTGGTGGCACCATACCCCGTACAACATAATTTTTGGTGGGAATGTGACAGTGGTATATGCTATCTGATGCCACTTATAAATACTAAAGATTGTTCATAGGTATAAAAAGATTTATAAATGTGTAACAAATAGGCATTCTGCACTCCTGAAAGTAGATGTTGGTGTTCTAAGTGTGATTTGGGGATCCAGTTGAGTTAGTGCAAAGGTCATGATTAGGACTTTAGCTGTGTTGAAAGTCTTTAAAAAATAATAAGTTAACATAATTTATATTCTATAATTTTCCCTTTTAAAGAATAAATATGATTGGGGTTTTGTACTTTTGTACTTTGTACAACCATCACTACTAATAACAGAATATTTTTATCACCCCTCAAAAAGCCCCGTACAGCTTAGCATTATTCCAGAGTTAGTCCTTGTTACTTTCTCCATATATTTGCACATTCTCAAAATTTCATAGTGAAGATACAATGTGCGTTCTTCTGAGACGCTGGCTACTTTCACTTAGCATAATTTTTGAAGACTCTTCTTCATCAGTGTTGTAGAATTTATGTTACTTCTTTAATGGCCGAATAATAGGTTTCCTTTGTATGGCATTATTTTGCATATCCATTTATTAATGGAGCTTCGTGAATGCTCATGCATAGATTTTTTCTATGAGCACAGGTTGTATTGGATCAGTACTTAGGTATGGATTGATCTGGTCATAAAATAACTCTATTTTAACTTTTTCTTGGGCACATCTGCCTCTGGTTAGGGTTTACTCCAGGCTCTCTGCTCAGAGATCACTCCTTGCACAGGTTGGGGACCATTTGTGGTGCCAGTGATCTACCCTGAATTCAGCTGCATGCAAGCCACGCACCTTACCATCTGTACTATCTCACTGGCCCCAACAGCTCTAGTTTTAATATTTTTTGGGATCTGCTTAACTTTTGTTCCTACAGGGATTGCCGTGTTCTACTGTCCTGCTGGTAGTGAATGAGCGAGATTTTCGTTGATTTCTTCTCCAACAGCAGTTGTCTTGCTTTTGATTTTAGTGACCATGAAATGATATCTCTTGATTTTGATTCACAGTGACTAGCAGTGTTGATGTTAAATATTTTTCCCCCTTCTTATTGGCCATGGCTTTTGTAAATCATAAAAAAAAAAAAAAAAAAAAAAAAGGCCCTCCCGTTGATCGTCGATTTGCTCGAGCGGGCCCAGTAACGTCTCCATTGGAGACTTTGTTGTTACTGTGTCTGGCATATCGAATACTCTCGGTAGCTTGCCGGGCTCTCCGAGAGGGGCGGAGGAATCGAACTCGGGTCGGCCATGTTGGCCGCTTGTAAAGCGAACGCCCTACCCGCTGTGCTATCACTCCAGCCCATGTAATTAACATTGTAAATCATATTTGGAAAAATATGACTATCCATGTCTTTGCCTGCCTTAAAATTTAGTTACTTGTTGAGTTATAAGCATTCATCATTTTTTTTTGAAGAGTGTTCTTTTAAGAGTCTATGTGACAGCATGGCAGTATTTTATTAGATTGCTATATGATTAATAATAAACAATGAGTTATTAATTTTCTTATTCAAGTCTTGGTAATAAACAATGAGTTATTAATTTCGTTACTCACGTCTTGGTATAAAGAATCAAGGGAAATTCATCATAAGAGAAGAACAAGTATCAGCTTTAATCTGGAATTCTTGTTTAAATGTATATTAATAGAAATTAGATTTAGAGGATGTTAAGGAATGATGTGATGAAAAAAGTAGCCTTCTAAAGGCAGTCTTTCAGTTATTCTTAAGTTTTTATATGTTCTGACGTTGCTGTTCTGTACAGATTAACTTCAGACATAACAGTAATGCTTGATTGTTTTGTTCCTTTACAAGATAGTTTTTTTTTTTTATCACAAATACTGTCTGCTTAGTCAATTACAGCTATGTGTGCTTTATGTTGTTTGTTTTTTACTATTGCAAATCCTGATTTATTCTGTTAATTTTTATTTAAAGAAAAGAAAAACTGAATTTCAAGTTATTTTCTGACCAAATGTAAGAAATGAAACTTCACTAATGGATGTCGGGTGGGTGATGGTGAGAAAGATTGGTAGTTTTTGGTTTGTAGTAAGAATATTTGGAGAACCAACTACACTGTTTTGAATTGAGGCAGTGGAGGGTGGAAGCAGACCAGAGTGAAATTTCCGTCTGAGAAACAGTAAAATCACAGAAGCTGGAGCGCCTTTGTGGCGTGCACAGAGCGTTGCATCTGCTCCTTGGCACTGCCTGGCATAGCCCTGGTTGCCCCCAGCACCAGCGGGGAGACCCTCTGCCACCACCTCTCCAGAAAGATTCGCAGGAAACAATGAAATGAGCCAGATCGAGTGACGCATCATCTTGATGGTGTTCCAACCATCTCTGATTTTGAACAACTCGCTCTCTTTCTTGGACTTCATTTTTCCCATATGTGAAATAATTCATTTACTTTCTTTGAACAGTTTTCACTCTGAAATTCTAGTTTTAAATTTACTGGAGCAAATTTCATCTTTTTTTCTGAAAGACTTTCCCTTCCTTATTCCTTATTCTGTAGAATTCTAGTTATAATCAATCGTTCTTAAGTTTTTATATGTTCTAATGTGCTGTCCTGTACAGATTAACTTCAGACATAACAGTAATGCTTGATTGTTTTGTTCCTTTACAAGACAGTTTTTTTTTTTTATCACAAATACTGTCTGCTTAGTCAATTACAGCTATGTGTGCTTTATGTTGTTTTTTACCATTGCAAATCCTGATTTATTCTGTTAATTTTTATTTAAAGAAAAGAAAAATTGAATGTTTCTAATTTTACAGCGATTTAAAAAACCTGTTGACTCAAAAACATTTGTGTTATATATGTTAAATATAGATGATGTACTTATTTTTTGTTTTCTAATTAGCTTTTAAGAGGTGGCAGTGCACGGAATACTTCTCTCTAATTTGTAAATCTTATTCAAGATGGTATTTCCTTCAGCAAAAATGTTTATTAGTAGATGTATTTTTCTTAAATTCTTTTATTATTTTTGCAACGTTCCATATTTGTTCTCTTTTAATATATGAATTGATTTTGGGTCAGGCAACCACAATTTATAGTGGTTTTGTTTTTGTATTCCTAGTCAAGGGTTATTGACAAGTTACTTTTTAAACCTGTTGTAAATCTATCTTGTTATTGTATTATGGTATAAATGTATCTTACAATTTAAAATGGAGTTCAGAATTTTTTATTTTGAAGTGAATTTTATATGCTTGTTACTAACTCTTCCATCCTAAATTATATTTGCGTTGCTGTTCTGTAAGAATCATCTCTGAACAACATACTAGTAGCTTTAAAAAAATTTAAGGCATTTTTGTCCTAGTCCTTTGCAGTTCTGCAAACAACCAGCAGGGGATCTCCTTCTCACCCAATTTCCATTTGAGTTTAGTTAATGATAAGTCTGAGTGTACTGCTGGGTCATTTTATAGGGCATTAGAAAGTGACTGGAGAGCTTCAGTGGATATAGACAATCCAATGTGATAAAATACTGCCTTTATTTTCTAGAAAATGTTTGCAGATTAGATAAGATTTTGAAAAGATTTTTATTTTTATACTAGGTGCATTAATAATTACAAGTGTCAGAAATCTTTAAGTACTGACCTTTCAGAGAAAACATGAAATGCAGAAGTTGTACAGTGTCCAAAGCTCTTTCCATTCAGTGTTACTCAAAAAAAAAAATCTTCAAAAGAGCGTGAACATGGAATATCTTAATTTTTAAGGTTGATCATTTAGTTATTAGAAACATTTTTTCTTAATACTGTTTGTTATCCCTTTGCTGATTGTGAGACATAGAAATTAATAGATGTATTAATATAATTTCAGTGACATTTGATAGGGTAGTTACTTTTAAATACAGTTTTCTCTGGAAATAAGAAATTCTATTATTTCCAGAGGATTATTTTGTTTGTTGAAAACTGAATTAAGAAGAAAGGATTTGTTGTTGTCAGTTTGAGGAATGATGGGAGCATAGTATTAGCTTTATGAAGTAACTAATTTCTAAGAAATTGATCATCTATCTTCATCAAATGAAAGTACTTTGTTCTGTAAATTAATGGGAAATTATTAACGTGTCACTGTAGAATTTAGAAGTAACTATGAATCCCACACTTAGGAAAGTCATTTTGTTACATCGAGGAATAGAAGACACTGTGATGGGTAATGCTTAGGGTTAAGCTGTTTCTGCATATTTTTGCAAAGCAGTAACTCTTTAGTATCCCTCTGTTTAGTATTTTCAGTGCGAGATGCTTATCTGTTACCTTATTGGAAACAAGTAGAGCAGAAATATATTTATTAATTATTTATTTCTCTGTAAACTTTGGTGTAAAATGTGACTTTATATTGTTCCTATTAAGGCAAAATACAATGTTCAAGGATTTCAGAGAACGCTATGAAATTTTTGAGTGATCTTTTTGTCTTAACTATAAACATATGAAGAGTAATTTGTGACATGAACCGAATTTCCTGGGCTGAAAACATCAATCCTACAATTATTTTTACGAACGAAAGGGAAAAAGACATAATATTTTAGGATAGATTTGCATATCCTTTTTGTATGGGTATGCTGTGTTTAAGTTGGAAGCAAAATACTAAGATTGTTTCTTGTAGTTAATATTCTTTTAGTCATAAAATATGTTTAATTTAATAAAGTTAGTATAAAATAGAAGAATGCTGTAAATTGTTTAATATAAAATGTGCATTTTAACAGATACTGTGCTACATTAAAGATGCATATATAAGTGATGAGATTTAAGGTTCAGTCTTCTTCAGGAGTATGAAATAAATATACATTTAAATCTCTTAATTTGGATTTAGTTAGTGTCAGATTGAATAAAAGAAAAAGTTGACTTTTGGGAAGTGGAAAAAATCTTTGGAACATATTTAATGTGCAGCTGTTGAAGAGCAAATTGAAACTGACGTATTTCATCCTGTGCTTATTAAAACTTTGTCTCTGAACATTTGGATCTTTTCTTTTTCTTTCAGATATTTGGTTTCCAGGCAGGACTGACTTCTTTGGATTGCAGGGGATCTCACTGCTTACCTGTTTCGATTATTCCTTCCTTCAGCACTGCTCTTTATGGCAAACTTCTGAAACTCCCTGCATTCTGGTAAGTATTACATAAAATGTAAATAATGTTGATTTTTACTTATCTAGGGGATAAAGCCAAGTGGTACTGTGTTATGCTAGTATCTTAGTTTCGTGTAAAACCTCAGAAAAACATTTGAAGTTATATTGTCTCTTACTGAGAAACTGTAATAATTTTAATCATGGTATCATTTGTAGTATTAATAGCTGTTATTTACATAGTAAATTTTATCCATGTTAGAATTACAGTAAAATGTTTCTGCTTTACCTTGTAATTAAGAACTGCAAAGAAGTACCCTCTCACCCTGCCTTTTATTCTTGTCTTCTTTTTGAGAATATACGAGGATCTTTTAAAAAAGTCGCATAGTAATATCAGTAGTCTACAATTACAATTTCATGCGTGCTCCTACCCATAGAGAAACGTAGATGCATAATTAAGATTTAGAATATTTGACTTGTCTTTGTTTTGTCACTCCATTTAGGAAGAAACCGATTTTAACTCTCATTATTGCTCACGATTGATATTCTATAATTGCAGGTCATATTTCCTTAAAAGACATTTATAGAAAGAAAATCAATAATTATTAGTTATATCTTCTTGAAGGTTGAAAACAAAGTTTTACTATATTGATGAAATACTTGTTTAAACATGTAAAATTATATTCTAGTGAAATATATCTTTATTTTATAGTTTAGATGATCTTAATTACAAACATATACAATATATCTTTGCTTTCTAACCCTAATAAACATAAGGATGTTTATGGGGAGTGTTTTCCATTTGTCTGTGAAAAAAGTAAACCTTACAGATAATAGTCATCAATTCCTATGAATTATTTGCTTTATAAAAATTTCAATTAATATATAACTTTAGACATAAAATTTTTAAATACTTATATTTTAATGAGATTTCACCATGATCCAGAATATTAAAAAGAAAATGGCAGTTTATATCTTGAAACCAGTTTCTTTATAAAATAGAATTATTAAATATTGTCTCTCAGCAAGTTTAACTTTTATCTTAGTTACCCACTTTCTTAATGCCGTTTAGTATGTATGTAGAGATTAACTTTTGAATTTTTCATTTGCATACAGCTAGTAGTTTTCATTTGGTCCAGCTTTTATATTCTTTTTTTTTCAGCTTTTATATTCTTATCTATTAAATCTCTTGGGATATTTCTGTTCTCTATGTTGATATAAACTTCATTAGCTCTGTAAATACTTTAATTTTTAGTTAGTAGTTTTTAAAATTATCAGTAACACCAAAATTTGTGAGTAATTCAGTGCAATTTGTTGTCAAAAATACTTGAAAGCTTCGTAAAAAGTAAAAAGTCAATATCTATGAGGTGAATTAATTATTTTGGAAATAATCATATAGTTTAATCATATAGTTAAATAAACCAGGCTTATTTTAGACATTGTAAGCTTTATAAAGAATAAATATAAAATGTGATTAATAATAGTTCTGCTGACATCTAAAATATTCCAATTAAATATTAAAGATATGAGATCACTAAAAGTATGAGCTAATATTTGGATATGATTTGATTTTATGTAGTTAGATCCCTTCTACTTTATTTCAGTGTTACTTTTTCTTTGCTTTATGGAAGTATGTTGCTTTATTTTATATTTAGTTTTTCTGAGAGCTTTAGAGTGTAGTCTCATGTGATGCTTTTTACTCAAAATGGTATAATTAGATTTTAGTATTCACAGTTAGATGCCCTCACTGCTGTCATTTCCAGAAGTATTTTATTATTCCCACTAACCCCCACCCCCACCCCAGAAGCTCTGTACCTGTTAGTAGTCACTTCTCTTTGCCTCTTGAGTTTCTGGTGGTCACCAATATAGAAGTATATTGGTCTAAAATAGTGTTTTAAAATGGTATTTTTAAAAAATAAATAGAATGTAAATTATCCATTCTTTGCAGCTCTAAAATCAAAAGAATGAATACCAAATCCATTAAAATTAGATGTTAGATGCTGTAAACAAAATACCACACATAAAATACTCAATGTAGTGTTTAAACTAAATCAAGATCATATGAGAACTCAGAATTTTATTGAACTCATGTGGTGAGTGAGGATTATTTTTGCAAGTCACCCTGGTCGTGTCATTAATGTCAGCCACAATGAAGGAACTACTACTAAACTCCCAGTTTCTTAGAATTTACTTAAAAATATTTTTGTTATTTTTTTATTTCACATTTTGCTACATATAAAAGTATATTTAAAAATATTTCTCATTGTTTTTACATCAGGTAATATTTAGTTCTTTTAGACCCTTAAAACAGGATAGAAATATGTAGAATGTGGTAGAAAAGGCAGTGACCAACAGTATTTAATGGCAGAAATTTTATGCAATAATTTAAATTTGAATTTACTAATTGTGTTTATTTTTACTTTATTTTTGGTTTTTGGGTCTCACCTGGTGGTGCTCAGGGCTTCCTCCTGGCTCAGGGCTTAGGGATCACTCCTGGTGGTGCTCAGGGGATCATATGTGGTGCCAGGTATCAAACCCTGGTTTGAACCCAAGGCAAATACTTTACCCCCTTGTACCATCGCTCTAGCCTCTGAATTTACCTTTTTTTTTTTAATTATGAGGAAAAAATTTAGAAGTTCCTTAAGGATTTCATTAGTTGTGATTTAACATTTTTTTCAAAACAGTGAAAATATGTTTCTACTCTATAAAATATATAATACAATACTAATTTTAAAAAAAAGCTGCATATATTATGATGTTTTATAATGGAACTTAACATTTGGTGACCGGCTAAAAAAAAGAGAATATTTTTAGTTTCCCAAAAACTCTCATCCATCGCTCTCCAAAGTTAAAACTGCTATCCGTATTTCTCATAGTATAGATTAGTTTTACCTATTCTTTAAATCACGCAACTTTTGTTGTGAAAAGTAATGTCTGTTGAATTCATGACAGCCTTTCACTCTCTTTTTTAAAAAATTTTTTTTTTGGGGGGGGGGGCCACACCTGGCGGTGTTCCTGGCTCTCTGCTCAGTGATCATTCTTGGCAGGGCTCAGGGAACCGTACTGGGTTCTAACTCATACTGAATCTGAGTTTGGTGTGTTTGAGTGCTTACCTTTGGTATGGTCTCTTCTTGCCCTGACAGTTTGCACATTCCTGATTTGGGATTTGAGTTTAGAATTAGAATGAAGATCCTTAATTTTCTCTTAATTTTTCTCTTAATCTTTTGGAACTTTTCCCTTTCTTACAGTTCCAGTTGTATCAAGGGAGCCTAGAGGTTTTTGTTAACTATATTTTGATTACCTTTGTCTTGATAAGCAGTATGCTATATGTTTGGAATGGATAAGAATAAAGTGGAATGCAGGGAGGATAGGCGATCCCCTGAGATGTCAGCTTATAGCCTAGTGGGGGAGGCAGAGTGTGGGGGGAGGGGTAAGATTCTAGATGCACAGGAAAATAGTTGTTATTAATGGCAAAATTGAGCCTTTAGCCATTAATCCTTTAGGGAGAGTCACAGTCTTCCCTGGGACCTACAGAATGGCTTCAGAGGAGTGACATTAGACTTGAACAGTGATGCCCAAATCAGATAAATTTTCCTGAGATAGGCTTGAGGGTGGAGACTTCTACGGGGCAGTATTGTCTGAATGGTCATGGGCGGGTCCTTGAATGCATGAATGGATGCAATGGGATAGGAATTCGAGAAGTTACTTTGTGTTTGGACTTGTACCAATAAGGATGTGTACTTTTTAATAAATGTAAACTCTTAATAATAGTTTAAACCAGTTAATTGCTTATTTGTCAGCCCCATTTCTCCTGATCAGACTTATTGACTACAACCATACTGGTTCAAGCTCATGTTCTCCTGTAATTGGGAAATTAAAAATCTGATCTTATTCATAGACAGGCAATGTGTGTTCTGTTTTGGACATGAAAATTATTTTTGAGGAGTGGGGAAAATACTATACAATGCTAAGACACTTGTCTTTCACGTGTTGACTCTGGTTTGATTCGTGGCACTGGCTGTGGACCCCTGAGCCCCGCCAGGCGTGATCCCCAAGCATAGGCCAGGAGAAAGGCCTTAACACAGCTGGGTGTGGTACCCAAACACAAAATCACATCGGCATAGAAAATCTCCTAGTATGTGGAAAAGGTAACTTTAAAGGAAGCAATAAAAGAGTGGGTAGGATTTAACAGAGGATGCTGTATTCTTATTTTATAGTTTTACTAAACATTTTCATAAATTCCGTGTGATAGCCTGATATTTTTGTTATAAAATTAAAACTCAGAGGAGCTGAATAATTTGTCCCAAGGCATACAGTTACTCGGCAATTCTCATTGAGGGTGATCTGATTCCAAATTCCTTGATCTCCCTTTCCCTCCCACCACAGCCCTCCACTCCTTTTCATTCAAAAGAGTGAAGATGCTTATTAAAATAAAATTATCTTTAAAGTTACCTGTAACTCTTAGAGTCAAAATGGATTTCTATGAATTGAGATACTGTTTGTGATAAAATAGCTAATGTGAGCCCTGTTAGAATCAGTACATAAATATTGTTATGATCTTGATCTCATAGAATCATAGGTGATGCACTTATATAAATCCTTGGGAATTATCTCAATTTTTGAAAGTTTTTGATTAAGTTCAGGTTTCTAGTTATCTACCCACAGGTTGAGTGTTTTACTTAAAGAGAGTTTTCTACTTGTAAGACAGCTAGATTCATTTTTGGCATCTCTAAAATTCTTTCATTGAATTAAAATCTGCTTTTATGTTTCTTATCTTTCATACTAACTGCTTCTATTTGTCAGAAATAATTTATCTGTTTATAGAAATATGGGAAAACCTCATTCTTTACAAGATTAAGGGATCAAATTTCCATTCCTTCTTTTAGATAGCTTGTTTTCGTAATGAAATTATTGAGCATTTCATTTGTGGGAGGTGCAGGCTTTAGCGGAATTTGTCTTAGAGGCCAGTGTTAATTAGAAAATAAAGGATTTGCTGCCGCTCACTCCATGGTGTTGATGTGTCTCGAGGAGAGGTGAGGCAAA